AAACTGTCTTATTCACTTGAGTAACATTTCTATTTATAGCTTAAGGGAGGTTTTTGTAACAAGTACACGACTATACATAATAAAATATTACTGTGTACTAAAAATTTATAATAGAATACTCACGTAGCGTCAAATTAAATCAGTATAGTAATTTTCGATGCAACGAAACAAATACAAATTTATGTAGTTTATTTGTATGATAACTATAGAGAATTGGCAAGAGTAGAATGAGTCTGAGTAAAAAGTATACTTTTAATAAACAGTACCAAAATTATCACGTTCGTAAACCAGTTCAATCTAAGCTTTAACGAAGTATGTACTTAAAAAACGAATAGCAGAAGTGCAAAAAATTTACAAAAACAATTAATTTATATGAATTAATTTAAATTGTATTAAAACACGATAGCATTACCAATGACAGACGTTACAAAATTAGCTTTACTATTCTTGCGCAATAAAAACTTGTTACAAAGATGCAGCAATTCGCCATTTTAGCCATTTATAATAAAACTTGTTTATTGGTGCAAAGCTAAATACAGAACATATTATTAAACCTCAACGATAACAAATAATCATCACGAAGTTGTAAATACCCTAAAAAGCATTCAAATTTTACGGCAGACTCATTAGGACATTTTTAAATTACGTAATCGTTCAGAATGTAGGGAGCGCAACAAGTAATCCACAATACGTACCAACCGCTCACATTTTTATTCACTAATGTAATTATGTCCTTGGTATATTTTCAGTCAAAACAAAATTTCACACGTAGCCAAACTTTTTTCGCGGTAATATAAGAATAAATTTTAATTCAACTGATCTATTTCTGAATCATTTTCGAGATTTCTCATTTGAGAAAATTTTCAGGATTAATTTGCGGACCGTTCGTGAAGGCAGCCGCCTGCTCTTTGTGCTTAGGTGGTATAGGGCGCCTGCGCGTGATCGATCCGCCCAAGACGTGAAAGCCTGAAATGAGCCTCAGTCCAACCAGAGACACTGGCTAGACACTTGTTTGAATGGGAAATCCAGTAGAGCTCATGCAATATTCACGACGAAATCAATGCGCAATGTATTCACAGTTAAACACATTGAATAACATGTAAATAAGGTCTATAGAAACCGAAATAAATTGTTAGGCTTCATACGAACTTTAACAAACAGATATATTTAAAAATTATAATACGTAATAGAAATAAATAATGCATTTCGACTGCATCTATTATAGATAAGACATTCGTAAATATAATCATAGTGATTTTGTTCCCAATTTGCAATTACTTGCAAGTCTATGACAAAATATTCTAAGCAAGATTGAACATAAGCAGTTGGAAATAATAATTAAATTTGTAATTAGTTCCGCGCCTCTTGTGGGTTGTAAGGACTCAGTTCAAAGACGTATGTCGGAGACCAACGGTGGTAACTGCGTCACGGCAATTCCCTACTCCATCGTATGCCATTCTAATTTGTATAAACAAACAAAAATAATCATGGGTTCATTTTATTTTTGTATTCGTATAGTATTCGGAAACAGCACACTTGACACATTCTGCGTAACAAACTAAGGTATGATAATGAAGGCGATATTGTCTTACGCCGGTTAAAATAAAAATGTATGCTAATACATTTAGCAAATACAAAATTCCACCAAAACTGAGCATAACTAACAGTATTCAATAGGTTTAAAATGATCATGTAGTTACCAACATAAGGTTTTTAAAAATTGGTATTTTATTTCAATAAATAGTACATCCAAATTTAGTAAATCAATTGTGTGTAGTGAATAGAAAAATTGTACAAAGGTAATATAAACATAATGGATCTTCTTAATATTTTTAGGACATGATTAGAGAAAGGCATTGCTATGTCTGCATTACTAATTAATACTTATTGCAGCAAGACACGATGTAAACCCTTATAAAAACATAGAATCATCGGCATACATATACACATGCCTCTCCACTAGAATACATTGACATTCTTTGTTAAAGATAATAATACAAAAGCAATATTTTTTTAGTGCAAATACGCACAACGGACCATTTATGAGTCTAATCGAAAAGCAATATTTTTTTAATGCAAATATTTTTACATATGGTGATAAAAATAATAGTGTAATTACTACAAAATTACCTGATGATATAAGCCGGACATTCTCTTGAGACTGAACATTCATTTCTCCTACTCAATCTGAAAAACATTAAAAATATCAAACTTTTAATTCATTATATCTTCTGTAAAAAACATTACAAATGTAAAGTAATTATGCAAACGTGTCACTTCTAATCTTACTATTATTAGCAATTATTAGTATTGTTATGAATATAACCTACAATAGATGCATTAAAGTTTTTGGAATAGCTACATCATAGAATTAATATGAATAAATAGAAGAAGCAAAATATTTTAATGTGAGTAATGAACATTTTATAAACCAATAGGAAACCAATTGAATAAACATATCTGATAACCAACAAATTTTCAACCTTTTTCTTATCTTTTTTTACTAGAATTATAACCTGGTAATGCTATGAAAAATATTTTGTTTGTAAATCGTGTTTGATATGGAAAAAATAAATATATACTTATAAAACTTTGAATATTTTCTTTTTAATTTCAACCAAACACAATCCCAAAAAAAAAAGTAAGTAGCAGTATTTTTTAAATTAAACATTCCAGAATTCATTTTAAATATTCCAATAACAGATATCAATTTTCATATAAACATTTAAAAATCACTGTCTACGATTATGTTTATTTACGAACCATCATGAGACAAGTTAGTACATAATACGTAACTTACTTTGAACTCCTTAAAACTTTAGCGAGTACAATACATAACGCCTCCAGGCGAATATTTTACACAACACACTCGTACATTATCTTATTGTCATCCGGAAAGTTTGGAACAATGGGATCTAAATTTTATGCGAAAATACACTTTCACATTAGAACGAACCGACCAACACAGCCACCTACACAATACAATATACTGTAAATTATAAAACAACTTAACACAACGCACGACTTTAGCTTTTATACATTAAGTAGTTAGCTCCCGACGTTTTATATTTACACCTAAAACCGTTTTAGAAGAACCATTAAAGTTTTAAAAGTAACTTTAACACGGCAAAAACTTTTTTAAACTTTTCTGTAATGTCGACGACTTCAACTTAAAAAATATTGACAGTTGACTTATTTTTATATAGATGCTACAGACTATAAACAAGTAACGTCAGCCTTAGATAGATAGTAAAGACTTAACTGTATCTTAGACTATATCTGCGGAAAGAGAACGTTGTTGGGATTTGAGATCGCAGCTGCTAAATTACCTTTATTGTTATGTTATAGCTTCGTCATTATATTTCAATCGTAATCGAACTTCTTTTCGTGTTGCTATTATACGAAAGTTAAACATTTGACACTTTTGACAGTTGTTTGAATTCTTACCATGCTAACAAATGTTTCTCTCGTTTAAAGCAAAAAAGCTATATTGGGTAGCAAGTACGGGGTTGATTTGAAAACTGCTTTTTTAAAGATCCATTTTTCTATAATTTAAAGCTAAAAGTTGGAAATGCTATTTTAAACCATTACTTGCTGACATACATAAATATCAGGTATATTGTTAGCTATAAATTTCTTGATATGATAAACTTTTTATTCATTATAGTTTTATCGACGTCAGGACGTGAGGACCCCATCGCCCATTGGTGAAATAGCCTGTGGCAAAGGTTACTTCACCAGCGCAATCAGTCAACCCCTTACTAATGGAAGTGCCATGCTGTAGCCTTCGGACTTTAGCCAAAAAAGGAACCACCGACATTATTTCGGTGTGATACTACGATGCCTGAAATTAAATATCGGCAACGTGTCATTTTTTCCTTTGTTTATCCCATTCTAGATGGCAAAAAATATTCTTTCTAAGCCTGTGCAATCACTTTTAGTCTACACAGTAATCAATAAATCAATAGATTGTTTGTCTCATTTTCTCTTATCTGACTGACTGAATAGCTGGTGCATGGCGAGTTGAACGGTCCCAGGAAAAAGGTTTGGTATTGGTAGTATTGACGAAAATGAAATTTAGCAAGAGACAAAAATCATTACCACCATTTGCGAATATGGAGTCCATTCTTTTCGGATAACGTTAAATGGTTAGTAGAAAAAAGGCTCGGCTTTGTTTGTAAAATACTTTATTGGTTTCTTTCCTAGTGACTGAAAATTTTAACGTCAGTTTAAGATTTACAATACTTTGGTTATTAGGTAACAACTATAATAAATTTTACAGTTTCAATTATTTACATACTTTACAGTAATAACACAAATACAGGAAATAAGTAATTACATTATACGTAAAATATTCAAGGATCACCGCGCATCTCGGATGCATATTTTTTTTGCTTTACTAACGTGATTTCCCAAAATAATGTTACATCACAATACCTAAGTAAATGTAATTTTATTATGCATCATATTTTTTAAGCAGCCATCAAAGGGTTATTTTATATATTTTTTTATTAAAACACATTTAACGTAGATACTTAACAATCTCGTCATCGAAAGAATTCTTAATTTATAACTTATATCAACACAGACTTTTAAAGGACGGAATTATGATATTTTAATTATTATAATTGATTTAATACTAATTCCTTCTATCATATAACAAAAACCACGTTTCCTTGTTTAACATACTATATAAACACAACTTGGATTAGATCGAACGTTATTATTACTTTTCACCGATTAAGCATCACAAAAACAAAATACTTTATTTCATAGATTATGGACGAGGGATAAATTGTAGAGTATAAATATATTTATTATATTTTCTCTTTATAATATATTAACAGTTTTTCTTTAAAATCCTATTAGAATTTTGGCCTGACTGTTCCTATGTTCATCATGTTTTTAACAAAATAGCATCTATTATTCTTACGATACTGTACCCGTGCAAAGCCGCCGAGATTGTCTTTCATGAAATGAATAACTCAGAATAAGCTTGTTTATAAAGCAACATCTTTATACTTAGTCAAATCATCCGATTCGTTTCCCACAGACGTGTGACTATTCCGCATAGCGTACATCCTGTCTCTATAGTATGGATCATGTCGTAACAAATTGACCCCATATCCCGCATCTTCCCTTTTGAAGTCCTGGAAATATGCGTAATCTGGGGGATATCTTGGGTCATAATAGGGTCTGTACGGGTAGCTCACCCGTTCGTTAATTTCGCTCTTACAGTCCATACGATCGTCGAAGTCATATTTGGTCGGGTATTCGTCAAACGCGCCAACGACTGAGTGGCGACGTTTGTAGTCGGTTCTGGGACCAACCCAGGTGCCAAAGTTTTGTGGATAATGCTTCGGGTAGCCACGAAGAGAAGCTGCGCACTGCCGTTCCGCTAAGTGTTGCCAGTAGGCGGGAGGTGGTTGTGGTAACATGATGGGGTAACCCATATTAATGGATTGACGAGCGGCCAAGTGACGACGGAGATCTGGCATTGAACCGGATTTGCCTAGAATTAAAAAGTCAATGATTGTTTTTAAATTCGCGTGCCGTTTTTAGCAAACAATTGTTTGACCGATCAAAATATTCATTTAAAACAAGCTTTTCTTAACGAATGAAGTGAATTACCATTATCCGCCAGAAAGCCCTCATTAGTGAAAGCCGGTGCCGCAGTATCGGGGACGTAGTGACTGGCATCGAACTCACTACCGCTCACACCAACGCCAGCACCGTATTCACTTTTCCTGAAATATCGAGAAGGATTTATATAGTAAAAGATGCTTACTGGTGTACTTATTTACTTAAAAAGCATGAAACGAAGTTAAACCTTTTTCTATGGAGTTGTTTAAAAAATCATCAAATTAAGCTAAGCTGTGTAACATGAAAGAATTATTCCGTATAATCAACGCTCGGGTGCCATATTTAAAAAAAAATATCGCTACAACCCCTTGGCCTTAAATTTCTGTATCTGTTTCGTTATTATTTGTTTTTTCTAATAGGCAAGTAGTAGGTCGTCACACCGTCGACTTTTTAACTCTAAAGCAGGATTCCTAGCTATGTTTTCGTTCACCGTTAGTACTGGTGTTAAATGCACGCAGACAGGACGGAAAAGTCCATTGGTTCACAGCCGAGGTTCGAACCTACAAGTCAACGCTGCTCATATCATAAACCAGTCGTAAATCAATATTGGGCAATAATTACATTGTAACTAACATACATCAATTTTTTTGATTACCTCGCTTCTCTAAGTGCATACGCAGACTGTACTAGGACAACTCCACACACAATTGCTGGTAGTCGAGCCACATAGCATGCCAGCTCAGCACCTCCGTACACCCCTTGAAGACCCTGCATAAATTTTATTTTTTTAGAAAAATAGAAGTGTATACAATTATTATTAAGTGTATCGAAGGGTTGTCAAATGATATTTGCAAGAGTGTTAATAACCTTGGAGCCTTTTTATAATTTTTTGTATTTATTACTTTGATGCTATAATTTATTTACCCAATGGCTTATAGACATGTAGAAAACTAGAGCACACTCAGGAATCAGCACCAAGATCACTGATATGAGCCACGCCAGCAGGTATTTGTTGTTTTTCTGAAAATTATAACAAAAAATATAGGGATTTTTTTTTAGTTTTTCTTCGTTTTAGGCTTAGATTTTCATCTATGTTATGAATGTTAAGTATATTTTAGTCAATAATGCTAAAATACTCGACATGCACGACTACGACGTATTACATGCATCTGAAGCTAGGACAGGTCAGGATAAGTTAAGCGCCATCTTTTGGCGATGGGATGAAGCGCTCCTTACATCAAAATTCAAACATTGTAGCGGCATCTATTATCTAGTAGATGCAACATTTATTTAAAATTATATAAAACATTGCAACAATTCTTGAATAAATAATGATTGTTGTCAAGTCATGTAAATAATATCTTCAAGCGTAAAAATTAACAACGCCATTCTTGAAATTTTTGGCCATAGTTTACTAAATTACACTATCTTATGTACTTTTATTAGTTAGAAATTTGTTTTTGTTTATGTATAAAAATGTTTATCAGTGTAAATATCTTTCGAGAGAAATAATCTTTCTTCTTAATTCTTCTATCCTTATAGTCCGGATTCTGATGATTTATATAATCTTCAATAGATTCCGTCTACAGAATCTATTAAGAGTCTTACCAACAAATAACCGTTAGTTAAATAAACTCACAGATATAAGGCCGTGAACCAGCACGACAGTAGCCGCTATAACCACGCAGTAACATATCATAAGCAGAGCGGAAGGTATAGGCAGACCACTCTGAGACTCCACAACCCATACTATCTCATATATTAGGGCGATTGCATAGGACACCTGAAATAAAACACAAAATAGTATAACATTTTCAAAAAAATGCACTTTGATCTTTAAATTACGTAATATTCATTCTGAGACTGTTTAATAATGTTAATTTAGAAGAATAATATACCAAAATTGTGATTAATAAAAGTTGGAATCATGTAAAACTGTCATAAAAAGGAAACCCTTTTTAGGAAATAAAACTTATGGATTAACATATTTTTGGTTCTTCGCACAAATTTTGTCATCCAAGTTCATAATATAAAATAAAAATGAAACAAATGTACATATGTGTAAAGGTGTAACAGTGATCAATCAAATAAACAATGTGTAAAATAGAAGGGATTTGCCGCGTCCATAGACTAAGGCCAAATCCCACGAAGTGACGAAACAACGACCGGAATATTTAAATCTCTTACGAATTATTACGTTAGCGTAACTGGGTATTTGGGTTATGATTTTTAATATTACGTACAAAAATCGCGTGAGAGATTGGTTGATTAAATCATGTCTCTGGTATTCTTTTACACGCTTTATTGTTAAGGTTCTTGTAACTAGATTGTCTATTATAGAGAAGATAAGTATGCTTTCGCCGACGTGAATTGTGTCCAATTTTCTTCAATTTTAACCTCTATGAGTCTAGAGGTAGCTCAAGGCTTGGAGGTTGTAGTAAATCCGGGCCTAACTATAATAGTTACGCCTTGGTGAAGGAGGACAGAAGATAAATCTACTTACCGCACAAAATATGATTCACATGCGCAGTAATTTTCTGTGTCCTTTATAAAACATACTTTCTTAAAACGAATATATATGTTCATATGTTAAGTTGCTTAACATGTAAAACAAAACGATCTTAAATGTCTGATACAAAACACTTACCAGAGCATAAGCAGCAATAAATCCAGAAGCAGCCGTGACGCTGCAGCAGAATATCTTATTAACAGCTGGCTTCATCCTCAGTCTTGGAGATGCATCAGTTTCATCGCTCAAATCATTGCTAGTAGACATTTTGACGTTTATGTAGTCTTAAAAATCCAAAATCATTATTGGTGTAAGGGTACGGTGTAATATTAGTTTCGAACCAACCTACATCTTTTCACGGAGTAAAAGGCTTAAAGGGCGTTTGCCTGATCTGAAAAAAAAAAAAGTTTGTCATTGGAATAAATTCGAATTGTTTTTATAATATCCAGTAACCCTTAATAGGGTATAGTGCAGAGATGTTTCTTTAGACATGCTACATGTAGGTGATCAGTGCGCACATATTCTCTTGACACCTCGTGTTTATGTCTAAGACATACCGTACATACAAGTATTAATTGCTCATAGAGACATAAATCATTAGTGCACAGAACTACGACCTCAGGGTCGCACTCCTAACTTACTAGTAGGTATTATTTATTTACATTTATTACTCAGCTTTGATTTAACTAAATTAACTGGACAGAAGAACATTCGACTATTTTGTTTTGAGAAAAAAGCCGTTTGCCGACAATTTGTTTAGAATATAATTTTATTTATTTATTTATAAAAGCTTGCCAACGCTTGGCACATTAATACATTGACAGAAGAAAAATTAAATACAGTTTTCAATGTGTCAAACACTTACTGGCAAACATAGCATACAAGAAGTAATAAAATTAATTAATCAAAACAATAATAAAATTTAAACAAACACTAAACGAAAATCACTCTCAAAGTCTGAGGTGAGCAACTATGGATGTCCAGATCCAGCTCGTTTAATAAATTGCTCAATCTGGACATCGGTGAATTTCGGCCAAAACGCGTTCTCCGGAAAGGAGGGATAGGATGGATAAGTTGGTTAAAAACATATTATTTTTACATCTCAAGCTTATGGCGTTTGTAGTAACACGGAAATGACCACGTATAATTTAGCTTCTTCCTAGTTATCAACGACATCCTGAGAAAATCGTGTACAATTTTTTTATGTTCGCATGGGAACCACGCATGAGAATCACTTTAGACACAATGCTGTAGAATGTATGCAAATAAAATAATTACTTTTTACAACAGTTTGGTTTGCTTAATTATGTGTATTTAAATATTAACAGTTGTTTAATGTGAGTAAATTAACACATTGAGATTAACTGTAAAGTTTGTACGCATGAATTGTATGACTTTAATTAGCAACTATAATGGTCTTTATGATGAATATACCTTTACTTTTTTTTATAAATGTGTTTTTTTAATTAATTTTATAGCTTTTCGTTCTGAGGACGACGAACTAATATTGCTCAATTAGTTAATATAGCGCCCTCTATTGGTAAGAATTTTTATAATAAATAAAATGACAATTTCACTCTTTGCTTGGATCCTTTAAAAGTCAAAATCTATTCTTCATAATACTATTGTTTGTAAGGAGCTGCAACCATTACACCATGTTCCACATGACATCTTAAGTAATAAATAATAATAAAATAAATTAAAATCAAAGATATTTTGTCCTCTATCAACAGGAGGCGTGGTGAAATAGGAGCGCGCACTTACATTCTCGTGGGAACAACACGCAAATTCATAGTATAAATTAATCAAGCAGATGAGGAAAATTTTATCGATTAAATATCGACTACAATTTTAATGAAACTTAATTTACTCTAGGTGTCTATCAATGAAAAGTTGTGTTTTCCTTATGACTTTGCCTCAGTAATTCTGAAATACCTATTAAATATTAGGCGTATAATTGCATTAATACGCTAATATAGCTTCAAGCAAGTAGGTCAATGTTAATTGAAATTGGAAGTGGCTCCAATCGCAGATAAATTTATTTTTGATTTTTTAAGTAGTCTCTCCTTTTAGGTCAAAACTGTGAAATAAGCCCCACTTTCAAAATAAATACGTAAATATAACACTGTATACAAAAACAAATGTATACAAAAACTTAAAAAGTACCATTTGATTTTTAATATAAAAATAAGTAGGTAATTATAATGTTAATAAATCAAAATAAAATGGCTTAATGGCCGTAGGCAAATTATCAACAGAAACGCATTTTGGTTTGGAAACTGCACTAAGTCCCAGTAAGTATATGACTATATAATATAGGGTAATAGGCATTTGATATAATCAGTGTACCTTATCTTTCCAAACTAAACTAATATAAACTTCTAAAAAGTGCACCTTAATAACGAATTAATTTTCTACTCACTACTCCATTCTCTTAGTATTCAATACATTCGTTCCGTAAAGAAATACTCGTCAATTAATTGCCAAGACAATGAGAGTAAAAGCCTCACAAAATACAAGACAAATCGCTAACTTTCTCGTTACTACCTACTTCCTTTTCGATGCTAGGAAATGTCAAGATCAAATGATTTATTGCAATATAATTTATATAGTTTACATTTTTGTATATATAATATATCATTGGTATAAATTACTACATTATTTACAGTATCACTGAGTCGCAAGAGTATTTTAATGGACTGTGTATTAATCTAAATAAAATAAATGTGATCAAAATATAATAATAGTATTGTATAGTACTGAACTGTCTAGCGACATCTGTTACAGGAAAGTTACACTCGGCGCTTGGAATGTAGTATCGTGACGTCACAAACCGAAAATAACGAATAACATTTTATTTAAGAGTGATATATATATTAAAAATATAAATTCTTGATTTTTGATACTTAAGATACGCATATTAAAAAGTAAAAAAAAGAAAAAGTTAAATCCGTTTAGTATGAAGATCGTATTTCTAAAACGCGCTAACAAAGTTTTTCCGATTCTTAACTATAGATACTGTGCGATCCACAGTATTTGTCGGGGACCTTCTTTATGAGGGAAGCCGGTTGGTAGCCGTGCCGGTCTAAGACGGTTGCGCATTCAGAACTGCATAAGGTTATTCTTTACAGTATACAGACGAGTTGAACAATGATGATGAAGATAATAAACATGTAAAAGGCAAATAAACAGGTTTGGGGTCTGCGTGCCCCGTCAAACCACACATCACCTCTTAGAGAATTTGTTCCCACTTTTGCTTTTCAAAATAAAAAAATTAGATTAAATTACGAAACACTTTAACAATTAAAAAATTTTAACCGTTTTTACTACCTAAAATAAATATTATTAAGTTAAATTATACTACTACGACTATTATTTTAAATCCAAAAAATATGTATAACATGATGTCGGAGTAGATACATAGTAAATTTCAAGAAAGAATTATTAAAGGCTTCTTTCCATTTAAGTTGGTAGCGTCATAACTTGACAAAATTAACCTGGATTTAAATCCTAATTACAAAAACGGTACTGTGCAATGTATATTTTTTACAGTTATTTCCGTGGGCCCACATGGTGTGATACGTGATATGAAAGCAGATGGGTTTGTTTGGTTGGTGACTGTAGCAGTCTAGGGAGTCGGCATGTTTAGCATTACAATATAATAATGGGGTCTCTAAGGTCAAGGGACTTTTAAGCGCTTCTCTCGTAAATGAAACATCAAGAGACAACTTTTAGTTCGTTCTATTCAAATCAAATCAAATCAAAATACGTTAATTCAATTTAGATGCTTCTTAGAGCATGCTTATGAATGTCAACAACGTTTACAAAATTCACGAAAGAGCAAGACTACGCCATCCGTTCGCAAAACTACCAGGAGGCCTTGTTCTGAGAAGAACGGGCAAGAAACTCAGCAAGTTTTGCCCTCCCTTTACATTACAATTATTCAAAGGAAAATGTCATAAACCACAACGTCATTAAAATTACTTAAGTAAAAAAAAATAAAAAATCTGTTCTGTGATTTACCACATTCACCATTACACACATATTCATAACACTTCAAAGATAACCAATCAAATTATAAGAATATAATTAGAACTATTGCCAAGCGTTTTTATCTTCCAGGTAGTCATTGACTGTGTAGTAACCTTTACACATTAAGGTTTTTTTGATGTGTGTTTTGAATTTGTTTAAAGGCAGTTCCAATATTTCACTAGGAATCATGTTATAGCAGCGTATACTTAGGCCCATAAATGAAGTATTTATTTTCTTCAACCTGTAAGACGGCTGGAAAAGTTTTCCCTTATTTCTTGTATTCCTATTGTGAATGTCGCTGTTCTTTAAAAGAGAACTAATATTACTACGCACAAAAACGATACAGTTGTAAATATATTGGGAAGGTACCGTCAAAATATTTTATAATTATTCATATAAAGACCCTGTTCTTGACCTCACTATCACTGTTATCGTTATACGTAATAAATAAAAGTCTCAATTATGAATTTTATCCTGTTTCTTTGTCTGGAATGTGACACAAGAGTAAAGAACCAATTATCCAAAAGCTACTTGAGCTGTATTGCTCGATAACAAGGAGCGTGGTCGCAGAGGTTATTATGTATTGAAACCCCAAACGTAGACAGAGAAACTTGGGAAGATGGAATAAAAGGGATAGCGGGGCAGAACTGGAAAATTGTCGAAATAGAGACAAGTCGAAGAATTTGGAGAAGGCCTTCACTCCGTCGGAGGTCGAGTACTAGTGTAAAACATAATGACATGGGTTTAGGCTATTTTTTATATAAAGTAGTTATAATTATCGACTATGGTAACTTGGCGAGATTATGCGTAAAATAAACCTTCCAAATGTCTCATGATCAATAATTTTACTCCCTCAATGTTTTGTGAAATTTATAGAAAATATCACGATTAAAGAACTGATATTGTGCATATTATTAATTATAAAATGCATTTCATAAAAAAAACAAAGATTAAGATCAGTATTTAGCAAATTGATTATTCTGAACGCAACACACGGAAGCGACCAGTTAGGTAACAGTTCTTGTTTCTATTTTTTTAATCTGGTTACGTTAGGTCACGATATCACAGGTTTCGAGTCACTCATGAATGTAAGATAAATACAGTGATTTATATTAAATTCCTGGGTAGGCCTTTTGAAATAACATTTGAGGCCTGTTAACCAACGGATTTTTCTTCAAAAACATGCAGTTCATTTAGTATGCATTTATTTTATTTATTAAGCGTGTCACTACATG